GAACCTTGAACCTTGAACCTTGAACAGGCTTCATTAAAAAGGTTGCTGTTAATTCAAAGGAGGACTAAACATACTGCTGCACTGCCATGCTTCCTCACTAGTGGAGGAGGCTGTTTTTGTGAAGCGCACTTTCTTTGTGAACTCAAACACATTCAACAGGTTAATCAACCAAAACCTGGAGACTACGGCTCTCTGGGAATAACCATCCTCGCTGGTTTTGATTAGATTGTACCTTTCCTCTTCCAAGATATGCTTCTTTTGCCGTCTCAGGAAAGAAAACGGAGGAAGAATTGTTTCTCGTTCTACTCTCATCATCACAACATTGATCTTACTGTCTCCTGTAGAAGTGTCCTGTGAGTCCAAGATGCCTGATTCCTGGAGCGATCGGATGCAGGAGTCCACCAGCTCTAGGCCTGTTGTCAGCTCCTCCTCTATGTCCTTCTGTCCATCTACATGTGCAGGAAGAACAGGAGACAAACATGAGCAGAAATTCATACACTTACACATCATGTGACTACACTATTTCTTACAGTTAGCAAATGAAGAGCCACATGCAGACTCCCAATGACTCTCATTGTCTCTGCTTTCTGTCTATTGTGTTTGTAACCTTTCATTTTCAACTCATCCTTTAACCAGAAACCCACCTTTGAATATAAGCAACTGGATCTTAGACTATAACACAATTCTAGACAAGTTTCAACAAAAAAATATTCAAAATCATTGTCATTTAACTGCAGATTAGTTACCCAAGAAGTGGCTTTACACAGTGACACAGAGCAGCATGCAATGGCGATCAATGGGCCAAGGGTAAAGGCCTAACTGATAATCCAGCAACAAATCTTGAGGTCTACCTTGTACTTAGATACCAGCCGTTTGTCTGTCAGAAAGAGGCTGATAACATTCCCAGTGTTTTCAAGTTAAAGTGGGCTGCCAAGGGGGATAACAGCTTACAAATGAGTCTTAGGAGCAGCATTAATCTCTTATCAAGACAGAAGAGAAACGGTAATAGTAGAGGACTTAGTCAGTGGATTTAGGAGGCAGATTTTATTGACTTCAACTGACACAATTCTAGATTGATGATGTTGATGCTGTTGGTGAAGCATTTCCAGGGGTGTCTGAAGCATTCCACTAGAATTACTCCTACCCTCACTAACAAAAGCTAAAAGTCATTTTCAAATCTGCCCCCCCCCGCATAGCGGAATGGATAAAGACCGCGGCAGACATTGAAAACTTTCACTGTGGAGGGTTTAAACCACAAAACCTCCGCGCTTCCTATACAACTCAGCGTGACTGACAATGAGGCAGAGAGAGGGAGACCTAAGTGTCACGCATGGGAGGTATTTCTTCAGCTAATAAATGCCGTCAAAGAAGTTGTCAAGCCTGGAGAAGTGTCTTAATTTGACTTTCAAATTGCCTAAAAGCTCATTGATTCTCATTGTCCTTTATGGAAAGCACATCCCATCTGGCACCCTGAACAGGTTAAACTAAATACTCAGAATTATTTGCAAATGCTGCTTTACTCAGTTGTCAGATGGTTTGAGGTGTGGTGAGAGAATCTCACCCTTTTATTGTTAACTAACCTTTATTGGGGTGGTTTAAGACCACCGCAGTACTTTCTAAAGAACTACATCAATATATATAATATTATATAGGACGAGATTACAATGCAATAAGCACAACCAGCAAAGCGCAGCGCTACAGTACAAACAGTGAATAAGACAGTCACATTACCTTGATTATTCCAGCGAAACTTCTCATCTGCTGAACTGCAAGAGACAAACGAGAGAAAGAAAAAAAAGTGTTAATATACTGTGAAATGTTGTTCTTTGGTGGAGCACCATCGGGATACTTTTAGATTGACGGTAGTCCATTAAGCCACACATGCCTTAAACTGTGTTTCCCATCCATGTCCACTGCGTAGGTTTGCGATAAAAACGGGAATACCACACAAAATGCTGCTTTCTACGGTTTGAACTCTTATTTTTTCGCTGAAGGATGAAAACATACAGACTTCAGATTCTTCAGTACCTTGGGAACAGAGACCCTTCTCAAAACCAATAACATACACTCCAAAATGCCTTATTATCAAAGTGAAAACAAGGTTGCTTTTGAATTTCTCTTTTTGTGAACTTGTTTGGGGTATTTGTTTATCCCTCTACAGTGTTATCTTGTCATGGGAATGATTTCAGAAGGGTAAGCACAAAGGGATTGGAGATAAGAAATATTACTAAAAGGGTGGTGAGAAAACATCAGTTCAAATAGGACTAGAGAAGTCTGCCTGTTTTTCTGCACCAGTGAAACACAATAATAAAAAAAATATAAGATTCCATACACATCTGCACTGATTTGGTACGCAGTAGTGCCAACAGATAAAGCACGGAGTACCAATGCTGCTCACAAGTGTCGGCGTTGCTCCTGAAATTCCCTGTGCATTTACTGTGTTTACAGACCGTCTTCAGCTTTGTCTTGGCAGCCAATAACGTATCTTCACACAGACTCCCATTTAGTGTTTCAACACAGCCATAATGTTACATATAACAAACAATGCTGACAGGCCTACGCATTTCTGTTTCAGTTGTCATACAACTGCGTGGTTATAAGTCTCACGCAAACTCATTTCCTCTTCTCTCCTGTTATTTCCCCTCTCGTTCTGTCCTACCAGGTAGCAGAGAAGTAATATTTGCTCCTTGAATTTCATTACATAGCATGTACACAACCATGTCAGCTCCTTTTACGCACTTAATTTGTTGATTTGTTTGCTAGTTCATTCAGGATATTTGATGGCTATGTAAAGGCGGTTCTGCCTGTGATTTTGTGTGGATTGGCACCCTGAAACAAACATATGAGAAACTATATTGCTGTTTTTTAGTGTTTACTTACAGTGGTATTCTTGTTGTGACACACACACACGCACAAACACACACACACAGTAATTCTATACAGCTTTCGACTGTAGCAACGTCCAATAAATCTTTGAAGACTCCTCTTGTATATTCTCTCTGTAACTCCCCAACCAGTGATATTTGTCAGAAGACATTAGACACCAGAGCACGTAAATTCCTATTAATCTTACAAATTCAGAAAACCTCCATTGTATTATGATCGCCAAGATGTTCAGTGTAAATCAATATCAACAAGATTTAAACCTTTGTAATCCACACACACTAAATAACCCTTGTGTTTGTGTCAATACGTGACATAACACCAAAATAATAACATTCACCCATGTAAGTAGGCTACAGGCTCAGTAGAGCAAACAAGTGGAGTGACTACACATCATGTACTGTATTAAGTACAGTGTTACTGTTTTATTACTCTGAGTAAAAGTATCATTTCCAAGTTGTTTTTCCTGCTCAAGGATTAAAGGCTCTTGGTAATTCCGATTTCCTGTATTCTCCTTTGAGGCCTGTTTGCTGAAACGAGCTCGAGGGCTTCAAGTTCTACTTTTGGAAAAGTTCCTTATCCACCTCAATTCCTGGATGACCAACCGCCTGTTGATAAGACTGACATTCCCAAAGGTTACTCTGTGCCTCTGAGCCTGAAAATTAAAATTACTATGATCTCCTTCTTTCAGCTGCTCCCTTTAGGGTACTCCATAGTGGATCATCTGCCTCTAATCCTAACTCTAGTATTCAAACCCTCTACATGAGCTCTCTCACTACATGCACAAAGCTTCTCTGTGGTCTCTCTTTGGCGCCTGCCTGGCAGCTCCATATTCCACATCAAAAAGGATAAAGGTCCAGTACATCCACTGTCCCTCCAGTGCACACGCCCAAGTATGTCAGATTTGCCTCACTAACCAAACTACTCAACCTTAGTTGTCCATTTGATATACTCATTTCTAAACCTGCCCTTCCTAATTACTTCTAACAAGGAAGGTAAAACGGTAAAATAATGACACTATAATATAGTGTACACTAACAATATGTAAAAACATACAAAGAGATATGACTTTTCACAATTTTTTCTTATGAAAATGGACTTTCATGTCTTTGTGGTGAAGTTAGAAGCAGTAAGTGACTAATTTAGCTCAAAGGCTGGAAGGAGCCTAAAACTGGTTTTAGTTTTCTTGTTAGCATACAGAATTCAAAGCGGTATCAATCTCCCCATCAAACCTCATACCCTTATAGCCACAGTGTACCCATGAGAATATGGGATAACACACGCCTTCACAAGCTCAGATGATTTCAACCAGGTTTGTTGAGCATGACACTGAGCTCACTGTACTCAGATGGCCTCCACAGTCACCACATTTCAATTCAAGAGCACCTTTGGGACGTGGTGAAATGAGAGAGTTCCATCACAAATGTGCAGCTGACTAATCTGCAGTAACTAGGTGACGCTGTTGAAGCTCATGAAGAGTTAAAGGCAGCCCAACCCAGTAGTTGGGCTGCAAGTGCATGTTCTTACTCACTTCTTCTGCTCATTGAGCTGGGAACCCGAATGGTGTTAACACCGAAAGGGCACGTTTGAACCCAAACCATGACCTATTCGTCTTGTGGTGGCTACACCTAACCAGTAGAGCTGGGCGATATAAGATTTTTTCATATCACGATATGTTTTTTTCCATTTCAGGCGATAACGATATATATCACGATATAAGCCAAATAACGATATTTGTAAGATTTAAATGTGCCGTTGCTCACAAGTAAAATGTGAAATAATCAGCAGCTTGTTTTTATTTAAATATTTATTTCCCATAATAAGTTCAACAGGGTAGATGTACTTAAGGAACATGAGACTTTTTCAGATAATTAAAGGCAAATATTGCAAACTACACAAAAGGCAGCCGCTAAAGCGTTTAAGTTTAAAAATAGAACAAACGAAACAGACTAAATTGTCAATTCCACTTAGAAACAAAATATTAATTCTAAAAATAAATCTTAGTTTGTTTTACAGAAGAACAGACAAAATTGACAAACTTTTGTCAATATCAAATAAACTGAGAACTAAAAGGAAATTCTCAATCTCTCCTTGTTGTATAGCTTAGCTTTTCAAACAGTTTTAACAGTTACTTTAGTCTGACAAAAGCCGAATGACGAATTAGCGCTTCCAGTCAGAGACTGAGGCTACGTCCACACGTACACGGGTATTTTTGAAAACGGAGACTTTCCGTTTTCGTTTTAAAAAATAATCCCATCCACACATAAAGGAAGAAATGAAGGAAAACGCTGCTATGAACATGCCAAAGCAGCAGGTGGAGCTAGATTCCTAACCGTGCAGAAATGTTGGCCAATCAGAAGTCTAGAAGCCTCGGTGGGAAAAAGTAAACAAAGCTGGGGCATAGAAGCAGAACCGAGTCGTATGTGTGGAGGGACAGTAACTGTGTGTATATGTAAGCATTTAAACACTGCGGAGAGTAGAATTAACAGTAACAGTATTGTAGAAATTCATTTCACCGAAACAATTACGTGGCGCACAGTGTGACGTCAAAAAATGCGCACACCTTTGACGCTGCGTTTTCTCCGTTTTTCTAGTCCACACGTAAATGCAAAAACGGAGTTTTCAAAAGTCTTCGTTTTCAGTGTCCAAAAACGCCGTTTACGTGTGGACGAAAGGTGCAAACTCATAGAAAAATCTGCGTTTTCAAAAATACCCGGGTACGTGTGGACGTAGCGCATGCACCAGTTTATTGTATTTCCAGACTTGCTTTCAGAACAATTTACAGTGCACGCTAGTCTGTTTTTTGTCAGACTTGAAATAGCCGAAATACCTTCACACTACGGAACTTCTATGGCTCTTCCGTTCGACAATCTCTCCGGCATTGGAACCATCATCTGTTTTCTCTTCGGTAACCTTTGGTCACGCTCGGTTGATTTCTCTAGTCGGCACACTCATTTCCTCCATTACCCGGGCGGTACGGTCGCTGGCTGCTTCCCAAACAAATACACATGTGCGGCTTGGCACTTGTGCTGTACATAACAAGTCACGTGACGTGACGCTGCGGCTGTGATTGGTTCGGCTCTGCGCTACTTAATTTGGATTGGCTGTTCTTTTTTTCTTTTTTTTTTAAGAGGACAAGAGCGGCGAGGTCTATCGCGATAGTTTAATTTTTCTATCGAGAAAAAGTTATATCGCGATACATATCGTTATCGTTCTATTGCCCAGCTCTACTAACCAGTGAATGAAAACTGAATTTAAAAGTGAAAATGTCAGATAAAACTAATTAAAAACAGAGGATGGTTCCACTTGATAGCTGAACCTTAGATAATCTACAACACTGTTATGTTTAAATAGTGCTTGTAGAGCTTTTACATTACATTGTATTTTATTGGCGAGACAATACTTTTACTTTAAACCGTAATTGGGAATACAGTCTAGCTGCATGGGAACGTAATTTTTAGGAGACAGGCTGGTATTAAATCTTCCCATTGATTACCTGCATTTTCTGTGGGTGTATGTGGTGTATGATGGATTGCGAGAGGGAGCCAAGCGGTATATGTTAATGGGGCCTTTTGTCAGCATAGCAGACTCCTCATCCATCAGACGTTATTATCCCAAAAAAACACAGCCATGCACTTGCACAAACACTCCTCCACAGACACAAGTCTTGGAAGCACGCAAAGCACACAAATGCATTACACAAAGCAGGGAAGCAGAGAGAGACTAAAGCCCCATGTCTGGGAGGATGGAGTGTGTTTATATCAGACAAACACCTTTGACGGGGCAGGATGATGAGGATTATTATGACCGGTCTGGGCTCCGACAGGCAGTACTGATGACACAGACTGAGTCAATGTTTTCTTAAGAGTAGAGCAGGCTGGTC